GAATTTTCACTCGAACCTGTTCGTTGTTCTTGTTAAACGTCCATTCCCTGCGCCAACCCTTACGTGTGTACACGAAGCCTGCTCTGAAGCTTACTTAAGTCGACTTGTGCAATAGGCTTGTGTTCCCGTTTACAATTCACTGTTGTGGTGAGTTGCATGCGCGCAGTTCACCTCGCTGGTCCCTGATGCCTTCCCCCGAGCCAAGCCTGGGCCCTTTTCCTGTAAGAAGCTGTGGTGCAGACTTGGGCAGCAGATGTGCTTCCTGAAGCCGCGTGTTCGTCCCAAGCGCCCTGCTTTGCCAGATGGTGTACTCCCCGGGAGAAGCCTTTGAACGCGCCATGGACGACGCGCGTTGGAACGACGACGCCCCTGGTCACCGACCGGGTGAGCTGCCTGCACGGGACGACGCACCGCTCCGCTCTTCGGCTCGGGTGATTGACCTGCCGCAACAGAGCACAATGATGTGGACAAAAGAAACAGGGTCTGGCTCCTGGATCCCCAAGGAGCCTTGCCATGGCTCCTGCTTCTATGCTTCGTGCTGTACAATGCAGTGCAGTTGATGAGGCACTTTCCGCTCTCTTACCGGCCCTTTGCAGCCCGGTCCCCGCCAAGACGTCCACCGGGGAGGAGACGGTGGTGGACCCCCAGGCGAAAGAGCCTACGAAGCCACTGGAGGCCAAGGGTGGGAGCACAGCCCCTCATTTGGCGAATTTGTTCATCATATACATATCTGAAACACCCCCTTCAATTTGCGATCTCGACTCCTCATATGTCTCAAAAACCCGCCCTCGTTTGGCGATTTCGGTTCATCATAGATCTTAAACACACACGCCCCCCGCCTTTTGGCGATGCCGGTTCGTCATAGATCTTAAACACGCCCGCTTCTTTCGGCGATGTGGGTTCATCATAAACACGATCGCGGTTCATCATGGATCTTACACAGGCTCCCTCATTTATTTGACGATTCCGACATAAAGATATAGGCTTATTTATCTATAGGTACTAGTAGATAGATAGACAGACGGACCGCGTCCCCCGGTTCCCCGTCCCGCGTCCCATATCCCGCCGCCTCCGCGGCAAAACAACATGCCTATACCCGCAAACTAATCCACTAGCTGACTGACTGACTGACTAGCTGGCTTGCTAACAAGCTAACTAACTACTAACTACTTACCTAACGAACAAACTAACTGGCTAAGGACTAACTCACAAATTCCTGAACTATGGCTGCGATTTGCTTCCACCAGCCCCACGAACACGATCTTTCAACATGTGGATGAGCTACTCTTCCGTTGTTGATATTTGTGTACGCAATCATGTTGTCATCTGGTCACCTGCTCGCGGCTGAGGTTGGAGAGCTACCGAGCCCCGCGAGAAGTCAAAGCCCGCTTCTTAGCCATGGACAGGCAGGCGTTGTCTTTAACAATTCCTGACAACTACCAGGACCCATTCCAACACGGCGATCCTTTCTGCCCGAGCTTTGCAGAGGCGCTGGTCCTCGCTTCTCGTGGGTGTGAAGCTGACTCAGATCTTTCAACGTTTCAGGCCGGTGGCGTGTTGGGGCCGTCGCTGGGCAGGGGTCCCAGCTAGAGCCAGAAGCGATGCTTGGCGGTGCTTTCACCGAAGTCAAGGTGCCGATTTGGGCGGCCAGCGCTTGTCATACAAGCCGGTGGGGTCCGAAGATGTCGGGAGTCAGAGTTCGGTTTCTTTCTGGTTTTACTTCGCGAGGTTGGCGGCTTTGACAAAGATCTGCCCAGCGACACGGATGATGACGAGCAGCCTGAGCTCCAAGTTCCGCCACCAGGCCCTGGTGGCCCTTGCGGAAGACACGGGATGCAAGTTGGAAGCGCTTTCAGCCTAGCAGGCAAAGACCTGCAAAGCAAGGCCATCTCCAGCTTGGTCAGTAGCCAAGACATGTAGGAGGTGCTGCTGAAGATGCCAGTGCCGAAGTGGAAGTTCATCTCTATCGGATTGGTGAATTGGAGTTACTAGCTTCCGGAGAACCAAGCAGGAACCAGCTGCTGACTGTAGCCAGGTTACTGAAACAAGCAGTTTTCAGATTTGTTTCGGCGGAGCCCTACACACCAACACGCGTCTCTCCCTTCTTGACCGTCTCACACGCGCACTAGTCACCTAGGAACGTCTTAGTGAGCTTTTCACATCTGCGCAGACTTCTATTTGATTTCACTGGCTCTTGCACGGTATCGTGTGCTTGTACCATGACCGAGTACCAAGTTTTGCTTCTCAGCGAACTCTGCACAAATGGGGTTTCCAGGGCTTCATATACTTCATTATACTTCGTAGCTCAGGATGGACAGGCTGTTAGCGAGATGTGGCACAAAGCCGGCATATCGGAGGACTGCCAGGTATCTTTGTCAGCGATTTGAAGTGGCATGGCGGTGTTCTGTTCAGGACAAGCTGCGGAAGCTTTGTTACACAAACGGCCGTGCAGCTTCAGCCTCAGTACAGATGCCTTCCGCCGATGAAGCCCCACCATGCCAAGCGAGTGGGGCATGGCCTATGAGTCCAGGCTGCGGAGCGACAGATTTCTCTAGTGCCCCCTTGTTTATGCTAACACACCCCGCAGGTTGTGCGTGTTTTTGCTTTTCCATGCCTGCTTCTGGCGTGTATGGAGGGGGGGGGGCTAGCTTCGTTCTGTCTGACGACCTCCATTGCCGAGCAGTCCTAGGAGTAGCAGTGCTACTCGTCCTACTTTTGGTTCTGCTGCACTCGCCATCCTTGCTATGCTGCTGCTGCTGCTGCTGCTGCTGCTGCCTGTACTGCATGGTTTTACAACCATATACACTCTAGTCAGTTTGCGTTTGCAGACCAAGATGCCTACGTTGTGCCGGTCTCTTCTGCTCAATGTGGGTTTTGTTTGGGCTAGGCTTAAGGCATCCCAATGCAAACCAGAGTGAAAGCACGGGGGTCAGGGGTTCTTGAATCCTCACAAGCCTAACCATGCGATTATACCATAATCGTATACTATCGTCCTATAATAGTATACTACTACTAAGCGTCTGAGCCCAAACCCTCAAGCTCCACACAAAGATCCCAAGCGTGCAAGCCCAAAACCCTCGAGCTAGAAGCTTAAAACCAGATCCCAGGCCCTGGCCAAGCAGTGCAAACCCCAAAACCTTCAAGTTCAAAAACCTTTAACCCGACATCCCACGACCTTGTTTTCGCTACTGCAAAACCACGAAGAGCACTACTTCCAAAAATGAAAAAATAACAGAAGAAAGACCCGACAAATGTATGAGTTGGCCAAGGCTGTCTCCCAAAACAAGCATTGTTAAAGCAGAAATCATCGTTGCACCTCGGTAAAGCTGCCATTTTGCCCTAATGCCCCTTTAAGACTGGAAAGGCATGGCAACAGCGAAGCACCACAAACCCAAACATCAACGCCACACCCGGAAAACGGCAAAGACATGCTGCCGGACAATGAAGCCATCAAGCGCCAAAACCTTGCTTTTCGCCGACGCGAAAACACCAAGAACAATAGTTCTAACGATGAAGCAATGCTGAAAGCAAGTCCCGAAACCTTTCCAGGTTGGGCAACGATGTCTCCCAAAACAACAACTAAGAATCCAGAAATCATCGTTTACCTCGGGAAGACTGCCATTTTGCCTTAAAAAGCACCCCTGCTATCGCGCGGGTCGTTTCATGTGGCGTTACCTTGTTTATGCCTTTCCCTTGAAGTGAGCGTGGGCTTCAGCACACGGGGAAGCAGGTGCAGTTCCGTGTGCCGGTAACGGGCTTTCACCAACCAGAAGCAGTCGGAACAGCAAGGCCCTATACATGGGGGTCGGGGAAACACCCCTGCCTTCAAGCCTGCAGAAAGAAAGATCGAGAGAAAGGCACCCCAAAATAGACCAGTGTGCGAACATGATACTTAGAGGTGAACAAAAGGTGACCCCCAGGTATTCACGGCCCTGGGGTGCGAGCATGATTCTGGAAGGCGGAAGGTTGATCGATTCGGCTTCTGGGGCTGGTTCTGGAAGGGTCGAGCACACATTTTTCAATCTGTATACCTAGATACATGTATACATATGTACGTATACATAGGTGTGCATATATATATATATACATATGCATGTACGTATATTTATTTTTCGCAGGAAGAGATTGTGTGTTACATAGTTTTCTATTTATGTAGTTATACATACGTATATGTGATATATGAATATGTGGTTGTGTACTTTGGATTGTATGGCCTGCTCCGCGGCAACCCATCATAGGTTGCAGTTGCACCAACGACAACCGGCCTCGTCCACTATCTGTGCCAATGACGATGTGGGCAGGTTCTTACCAGGGGGTAACTGTCTTGTGGTTATCGCGTGCGCATGCATACGCAGCTCCCATTCTGCACTCATGCATTCATATTGAACGATTGTTGACAGTGCCAATGTCTTAGCACGGACAGTAACAGGCGAAACGTGTACGGATACCATGGAGAATGCTGGCCATCATGCTGGCGCACAAACATTCATGAGCTGATACTGCTACCATGCGGGTCCTGCAAGACTTGATTCTACCAAACGTCCACATGTGGTGTGCTTCTGCAGGTGAGAGACAAGCTGAATGGCTTGAACCACGATGTGTCTTCCGGCAAGCTCTACCTCGGATGATGCTGGTAGTAGGTGTTTTTCGGGCAGTTGCACCATCCGCCTGCGGAGGATTTGCCGCTTTGCCGTGCTGCATTGTCAAGCAATGCTGCGTCTCACCATCGCCACCCACAGGCAACACCATAATTTGCATGCGAGCTGTAAACGACAGCTCGCCTGCTGCACGTTCCGTGGACAAAATCCGCTTATTCGACCTGACGCCTGAAAGCTAGATCATGCTTTCGAGTTGCTGTGGTGCTGTCGAGATGCAGGCCGAATTTGGGCTCAGCATTTCGCGGAAACAGTGCCGTGAAAGGCCCAACCGAAGCTGAAGGCCTGTGTCTTGCTTGTTTGGACCAAAACCCATCGGACGACTGTGCGCAAAGGCCGCATCGCATGGGGCCACTCCGCTCCGTTCACGGACAGGCGAGCTTGCGACCATTCAATTCAAGGGCTTGCTTACGAAGGAATGCGGGCGAGGTCCGGCTCAGCGTGAATGTTTGGCTTGGCAACTAACACACGGGATGCCCCCCAAAATCCTCCCAGCTGTCATGGAGTCGAAAGGCTCTGCATCCCGACTCCAACTCATGTCAAGCAGGTGTTCCGTCAAATGGTCAGAAGCCATGATCTGAGGATGCTGTTTAAGCCCGCGGCAGAATGCTAGAAACGTGTACTACTCGTGTACTCATCTGACGAATGAACGACTATCCCAATAAGCTGTGAGACAGATGCTTGCCACTTTGACAAGGTATCACACATCAAAGGCCAATGCACTCCAACCGGGCAAATGCCAACAAGTCAACTACTCCCAGTTGGGAAAGTCCTTGCGTTTCGTTCGTGGCAGCGCCAAGCCTTCGGGGGAAGCTTTGTTGCCGGGTCGTTGCGTTTCGGTGTGCACATGGGGGAAAGGCTTTGAAGATGATGATCTGCGGTGTTGGTTTGTTGCAGGGTCCATGAGCGGCTGCTTGCAAAATCGAGTGTCGGCATGGGGAATGGCTGCTTTTGATGTGCTGTTTGCTGTGAGGCCCCCGATGTGTTTCTCGAGCGGCTGCTTGCAAAATCGAGCGTCTACATGGGGAAAGGTGCTTTTGACGTGCTGTTTGTTGTGATGCCGCTGATGTGTTTCTTGAGCGGCTGCTTGTAAAATCGAGCGTCTACATCGGGAATGAGTGCTTTTGATGTGCTGTTTGCTGTGATGCCGCTGATGTGTTTCTTGAGCTGCTGCTTGCAAAATCGAGCGTCTCCATGGGGAATGAGTGCTTTTGATGTGCTGTTTGCTGTGATGCCACTGATGTGTTTCTTGAGCGGCTGCTTGCAAAATCGAGCGTCTACATCGGAATGGCTGGTTTTGATGTGCTGTTTGCTGTGATGCCGCTGATGTGCTTCTTGAGCGGCTGGCTTCAAATCACACCGGAGGGTATCGTTCAACCCATGCATAAAAATGTGAAAACCCGGCCTGGAGTGACAGCGCAGGCGTTGCAACTGCAGGCAGGCAAAGCGGAGCCGTTTTAGGTTTGCGGCGCAGGGCTTCTTCTTTACGTGCAGTTGCAGAAGGCTGCAAAACCGAACCGCAGCACGCAGGTCTAAGCGCATGCATCTCAGGGTTCGTTCTTCACCTGTCCCCGGAGGTGTGCAGTTGCAGAAGGCTGCAAAAACGAACCGCAGCACGCAGGTCTAAGCGCATGCATCTCAGGGTCCGTTCTTCACCTGTCCCCGGAGGTGTGCACTTGCAGAAGGCTGCAAAAACGAGCCGCAACACGCAGGTATAACTGCATGCATGTCGGGGTCCGTTCTTCACCTGTCCGCGGAGGTGTGCAGTGGCAGAAGGCTGCAAAAACGAACCGCAACACGCAGGTATAAGTGCATGCATGTCGGGGTTCGTTCTTCACCTGTCCCCGGAGGTGTGCAGTTGCAGAAGGCTGCAAAAACGAACCGCAGCACGCAGGTATAAGTGCATGCATGTCGGGGTCCGTTCTTCACCTGTCCCCGGAGGTGTGCACTTGCAGAGGGCTACAAAAAACGAACCACAGCACGCAGGTCTAAGCGCATGCATCTCAGGGTCCGTTCTTCACCTGTCCCCGGAGGTGTGCACTTGCAGAAGGCTTCAAAAACGATCCGCAACACGCAGGTCTAAGTGCATGCATGTCGGGGTCCGTTCTTCACCTGTCCCCGGAGGTGTGCAGTTGCAGAAGGCTGCAAAAACGAACCGCAACACGCAGGTATAACTGCATGCATGTCGGGGTCCGTTCTTCACCTGTCCCCGGAGGTGTGCAGTTGCAGAAGGCTGCAAAAACGAACCGCAGCACGCAGGTATAAGTGCATGCATGTCGGGGTCCGTTCTTCACCTGTCCCGGAGGTGTGCAGTTGCAGAAGGCTACAAAAAACGAACCGCAGCACGCAGGTCTAAGCGCATGCATCTCAGGGTCCGTTCTTCACCTGTCCCCGGAGGTGTGCACTTGCAGAAGGCTTCAAAAACGATCCGCAACACGCAGGTCTAAGTGCATGCATGTCGGGGTCCGTTCTTCACCTGTCCCCGGAGGTGTGCAGTTGCAGAAGGCTGCAAAAACGAACCGCAACACGCAGGTATAAGTGCATGCATGTCGGGGTCCGTTCTTCACCTGTCCCGGAGGTGTGCAGTTGCAGAAGGCTACAAAAAACGATCCGCAGCACGCAGGTCTAAGCGCATGCATCTCAGGGTCCGTTCTTCACCTGTCCCCGGAGGTGTGCACTTGCAGAAGGCTTCAAAAACGATCCGCAACACGCAGGTCTAAGTGCATGCATGTCGGGGTCCGTTCTTCACCTGTCCCCGGAGGTGTGCAGTTGCAGAAGGCTGCAAAAACGAACCGCAACACGCAGGTCTAAGTGCATGCATGTCGGGGTCCGTTCTTCACCTGTCCCCGGAGGTGTGCAGTTGCAGAAGGCTGCAAAAACGAACCGCAGCACGCAGGTATAAGTGCATGCATGTCAGGGTCCGTTCTTCACCTGTCCCCGGAGGTGTGCAGTTGCAGAAGGCTGCAAAAAACGAACCGCGCCACGCCGGCTTTCACACGAGTTGTTCACTCTTGGGGGACGGTGTGCACGGGGTGTGCTCTTGCGGAAACGGCAAATGCAAGGACTTTGCAGCGACCCCAGTCGTTGCGTGTGTGCAGATGGGGGAAACATCAAAAACGCGAAATGTAACGACAAACTCGCGTAGGAGTACCAGCTGCTGCCAACTCCCTCCGCACATGCCCGGGGATCCAACGGTCGAATGCAATGAGCCTTGGAGTAAACCCAGGCATGAACACGGGAAAAACCGACGATGGAAGAGTGTACAGTGGTCACCGGCGCCGTGTCAACACTAGAGGACACCGAAGGTATGGTTCAAAGTCTGCAATGCCTGAATCGCCCATTTGGGCAGGACCCAGACAGGCACAGACATGCATGCGTGCACCAGCATACACCCGCGCACAGAGACAAAAACACACATACACACACACAAATGGAAAACGGAAAGTGTGACTTTGAGGCGAGACCTCACGCACACACTCAGCTAAGCCCCAGAAAACTGAAGATCTCTTGAGATTTCAGTCGAGGGTGTGTGCACAAGGGACCGGGCGTGTGAAAGGGTACATAGTGCCTGTCGTTTGGACGGCCCGGTCATCAAGGCATCGTGTCTCGATCGGCTACTTGGAGATGTGATTGCTTTGGAGGTCAAGGCACTTTTTGCTCAAGCATTGCTTGATGCCTTTCCATCTATACAACAAGATGCCGGGAGCTTGGGCAAATGCAGTTGCACGTCGAGTCTTGGAAAGTGATGATGGAACCTTATGTTGCCTCAAAAACAAGCACCGGCAGTCACGCATGTGTTTCTGCTGTTTGTGAAGGCAGCGGTCGTGAAGGGGAATCCGAAGTATGGAGCTTGCCTGAGACGCGGACAAGATGCAACACCACCTGCAGCAAGTCAACTGTCAGGCGATTACCAGTGCAACAACGCAATGACAATCTTCAAGGAGCATGGCACAGGCTGGGAGAAAACGCTGGTGCCGGCAAAGCATCGCAGCATGCACTACTCAATCACCACCACAGTTGCAGCAGCGAAGGCCTGGGATTCCAGACGCCCTTGCAGGTTGCAGAAGCCATCAGGCATGGTGGTCCCTGGTGAATAGCTGAGACTAGAAGAGTAATTGCTAGGTGCAATGACATTTCACGAAGGCAGTCCTTGGTTTCCTCACCTGACGAGCTCCTACGCCACCTCCCTCCGAGCCGAGCAGTGGCTTCAACGAGAGACTCAACATGACGTTGAGCTTCATACTGTTACGTACCCCTTGGGATAGCATCCACGGAAACGAATGTGCATCAAGCCAGGTTGCGGTGACGTAGAGAGGCTCCGTGGTGAGAATCCGGAACAGTAATGACTTGCATGGGATCGCCCCAAGCCGGCGTCCAGCTTTGTTGAATATTTGGTGCCAAGATGGGTCAAGGACGAAGCATTTATGAAGGCATCTTGACATGGTCCAGGCGTGAGACGCCCCGTCCTCTGCATCAGTTCACGATGAAAGACTCCTGGAACTTAGAGGGTCATGAATCCACACATGCTCCGCTTTCATTTAGCCATGCTAACCGAAAATACACACACAACCACACACCACATCGGCATGATACTCATTGATTTATCAAACCTCTGAATTGCACCACAAGAAAGGCAGGTCACCACAGCATACTTGATGCTGGGTGGAATGCAATGGTGATGATAGCAAGCTCAGACACTGTCAGCAAGATGGTTGAATTGGAGACGGTACATATAAGACTTATTAGACGGGTCGAGTCGAATGCATGATTTGCGAGTCGCCGCCGGCCAACCGGCCGCAAGACGTTGGTCCGCACCCTCTCAGACAGACCGGACCGGAGGTTATACGGATATGCCATCTGAAGTACTATGAAGTACTCGTATGTACTCGTGCTGATCGTTACAGCAAAAGGGAGAATAGTCGCTCTCGATGCTCAAGTTCGGTGCCTGTAAGCTTTCATGAGTTAATGCCCACACACCTCTGTCTTTTTAATGGCCATCATCCGTCTCTTCATTCACCTCTCCCATCAACGGATCGCCGGAGTCCTTTGGCTGCTGATTCGGCAGTGCCAGAAGCTCGTGCTTGCAGGGGATCTCTGCCGGCGAATGACATCATCGGCGAGATCACTGTTGCACCGCAGGGATTTGTCACAGTGCACGGCCAGGATGACATAGCTTGGACCTGTGCGCACTTCAACCCGAGAAAGCTAAGGTCAAAGTGCGGGAGGAGTGGATTTGCAAGGAGGCCAGCTCACACGAAGATGCGGATTTGCGCCACTTTTGCATGCAACGGAATGTCCATGTGAGAAGTGCTTTGTATGAATACGCCGTGTCACCACTGCAATGCTTGCTCGCTGCTCAGGTGGGTCAAATAGTTCTGGGAGAAGTTGAGTATAGAGATTTGCCCAGGAAGAGGGCTGATGCCTGAGATACCTGGACTAGTGACTGGACAGGCAGCTTTGTCTCGGCGGTTTTGCCGATGCGACCGCTGCAGGTTGTAGTGGATTATTCGTCTCCGAATATCGCCAAAGAAATGCATGTTGGCCACTTGAGGCGATCAAGACGCGCGGACAAACGCTTTCACCCCTGCCACCGTTTCTTTGGAGGTCCACAATCATCGGTGAATCGATCCGCCGGGTTCTCGAGTTTTGTGGTCACGAAGTCCACGGCCCGGGACTGAGCTGAGAGTTTGCAGAGCTCCAGTCCGGAACGTACAAGAGTACTCGCTTCTGTAAAGGCCTCAACCATGTCGGCGACTGGGGCACTCAGTTTGGCATGCTCATCGAGTACATGAAGGAAGCATATCCGAACTTCCAGGCCGGTAATCTCCATCGAATACCAAGATGCGACCTTGGTGAAAATAGTCCGGCAGGAACAGCTTCCCGAAGTGCATGACCTTCAGGAGTTTTACAAGGAGGGATTGGCCAAACTCTGGCCGCACTCTGTTCATGAAGCTGTGCAGCGCACAGGCCTCAAAGAAGAGGTTTGACGACGATGCGGCCGTGGCCTCGGAGCAAAGCAGGATTATGCAGGAGCAGACGTGGTCTCAGCTTGCTACAGGAGTTCAAGTCTCGGGCACAGCTTGCAGTTGTGGATTTACAAGCTGGTGGGGAATTTGCGGCGGTCTCAGAGCATGAGCTTGCCACGCTGAATCTAGGTTCTCAGCCCGGGGCGAAGCGATGAGCACCGCAGATGAAAATCCTGGGGAACACCAGATCAGACCATAAGGTAACATGGCAGTGCAGACGTTCTCCTGCTCTGAGGCAAGATCAGCCTGGCAAAAAATCTGCGATGTCAGCAGAGTGGCCTTCAACAGGACTTCGGACATCCTTTGAGATCTTGCTCGAGGTGCCCCAAACGCTCACGCAATGCACATGGCAGGATATATAGCAGGCTCGACATCTCCATCGAGGACGCCAGATGCAATCTAGAACATGCTAAGTATGGACAAACGGCCCCGTTCACGTTTCGAGTCAATAAGGCTTGGGTGTGCTAGGACAGCTTGTGACAAAGGTTGTGTCAGCTGAAGTTCGGGGTTGGACCGGCTGCAACTCATCGAGCTGAGGCTTCTGCTAGGTCAGTTTGGGGTGGCTTTCCAGGAATGAGGAACGATGAGTGGTAGCGAGACCCTGAGAAAGAGTGGAGGTCTGGTGCAATTAGCCTAGGCATAGGCACCCTTTCTTCGGTGTTCTTATACTTATCTCTGAGTGGGCGGCGGCTTCGCACATCCCTGCAATGTCCGTTCGGGATATGTCCGGTCAAGACAGAATTGGTTGGACGATGCAACGGTTGAGGAAACCCTCCAACTGCGACATCCAAGCATGGTACATCAGGGGAAGCTGAGCTTGGAGACTCCAAGTTTTCGAACACTGGCAGAGCAGGACGGTGCAGGACATTGTTTCCTCGAGATACCTTCTGCTCTCGTTGTGCAGGTAGACATACTTTCACACTTTCAAGGTCGCCTCGCGATTGAACTGGACACCTCTCCGGACAGAACATGAGCCTTTCAGCGACTAATGGGGGTTAGCTACTCTCCAAACAGTACGGGCCCTCCCAAGCCTCAAGTTCCATCTCCTCGGAGCGGTTTTGCAGGTGCCTGCCACAGCACCGGATGAAGGTAGAAGATAGACCAGACAAGTCACGCCTGTCAAGGAGCGTGGCGAATCCTTTTACAACTCATTGATCCCGCCCCTCGTTGAGGAGCTCAAGGCAGGAGCCCCTGGGCATGCTCACCGTAGGGAAGTCTGGAAGGAATCTGCCCCAGACTGTGGATGCCAAACTGTGGGTAGTGAAACGCGGTGGACTGTTTTTGGAGCCTGCGCGCGCCATGTAAATTTGACGAAGTGATAATTAAGCAGGTGTCAAGACTAAGAACGCGCTGGCGGCAAGGACTACAGTGCACGCAGTAGTTGTCATTCTGGGTTGGGAGTCGTGGAGTGTAGTGAGACTCGCAAGTTGGCTACTGCTTACATTTGCTACCGCGGCTGCTGCTGCTGATGCTGCTGCTACTGCTACTGCTACTGCTACTACTACTACTACTACTACTACTACTACTACTAGTACTACTACTATTACCTACTACTATGTTTTTGCTTATGTAGCTCTTGAGTGGTGAAACTGCCAATAGTGCAGTGCAGCAGTGCGGTCAACAACCGCCGGACAAAGTCTGTCCGCTCATCGGACGCAGATCGTGCGAGACGGATGCAATGCAATACTACCTACTACTACACTACTACTATGAACTACGACGACGACAACTACGACGACTACTACTGCTACTACTACTACTGCTACTACTGCTACTAAAGCTACCACTACTCTTCCTACTACTACGTACTTCTTCTTCTACTACTGCTGCTGCTACTGCTACTTCCGAGACACCTTTTTGGTGGCATGTGTTCACGGGCGGAAGGGCTTTCATCGTCCCCAACTGGCATTGAGTTTTTCAGTGCGTTTGCTTGGTTTTATGGGATTGTCTGGCCGGGACGGTTGCCAATGGGTCTAGCTCAGCCAGCATGCTTTTTACAGTTCCTACTAGTACTACGTTTCTGATTGGAGTGGCTCTGCTATGTGTAAGGAACCAGAATAATACGTTTCCGTGAAGCCAGACGTGGAGGAAGGGTGACAACTAGATGTCGGGGGCGATGCGGCTATACATTTTCTCACGAAGTCACGTCGGGGAAGCACCTTGAAAAGGGTAGATGTTTTACACCATGAAACCAGGCATAGACAGATCGATCTCGGGTGAGTTTGTTTGTGGAGCAAGGGGTCTGGAGCCACGCCCTCGTGGCACCACTGCGAGAAGGTTGGAGGAGCGGCAGACTGGTAGCACCCCTGCGATAGCTGTAACTTTTGTTGATGTTTCATCGCGCCACTGCGACATCTCCGGTGACTTAACGAGCAAAAATAGAAGGGAAAAGCCTGGAACCTGGCTGTGTGTCCAAGCTGCTTGCTTCCAGGTGCGGAAAATCTGCACGGAGAGCGAAGGGGCGCGGCTTCCTTGCAGATGTAGTTGCTTTGGCCTTCCTTGGGCTTCGCCGTTGGATGAGATGGTTGTGAAGGATTCACATGGGCATGTGCCAAGCGGGCAGCAGCAAAGCAGGCGATGTGCATTTTTACGCCGAGTGTCTCCACGATCCCGCTTATGGCCGGTGCACTCAGAAAGAGCCCTGCCTGTTGCAAAAAATGGGGAGACTTGACGTGCGCGCTAGCTCATGTGAAAGCTAATGCAGGCTGTCAAATCTGACGGGGGTTTTGGTTATGCCGCAGCCTGATCTTTGGACGGACTTTTCAAGACTAATGTTTGCTTCCACTAGGCTTTGGTATTGCACCTGCCGAGGACTCGACAGATCTGGCGGCTGTCTACCATCGACTTTTTGTGATGAGGGCCGACTGGTGCCCCCCTGAATTTCAACACCTCGCCGTACCGCCGAACTGAGACAGAAAGACAGGCAAGCCAGATTCAATTGTGCTAAGGGTCATTTACGTGACAGATCTTGGGCAAGCGAGCTTCTCAGAAGCGGTAGCTTCGCCCATGTGGTCTCTCTCTCCGCATGTCCATGCCCGGATATCTTGTCCCGCACTCAGGAGCAACATTTTCACATGATTTTCGATGCAGCCAAACAGGCCCGCCTGACTAACTGCAATGTTTCCATAATTAGCTGCTGCTTCTGTTCGTGGTGTTGCGGGGGCACATGACATGGATTTGGCAGCCAATGTCGCAGTCAACGTTTGCGTGAGCCAGGCAGGATGGCACACTCCACCACTGACGCGTTGCGATCACATGGGTGGTTTGCTCAGCACCGTGCTGACTATCTTCCATGGCGTTCCAGCAGACCTCACCTTAGGCTTCGGAGTGATCCAGGGTGAGGACAAGAAAAAGTTCAAGACAAGGTACGTATGCTGTGATGCAACTCTCACTCTCGCACTTCTTGGACTGAGTCCAACCGCATGTAAACTAAGGTCAGGCGAGACCGTGAAACTCAGTGATTTATTGGATGAGGCTCTTGCCGGACTTATGCTGTGTCATGTTACCTTCGGGCGGCTAGGCAACGTATGCAAGCAGGGCAAGCAGGACTTGGTTGAAGACAGCGAATTGGGGATATGTTGTGTCAGGCTGTGCAGCGTGCCCTCCAGGACACGGATCAACAGCCGACGGATCCTTTTGCTCCACTCTTTGGCATGCCTCCCTGCCCCGCGCTTCGCAGGAAATTCAGCAAAGGGTCCAGGACCAGACCAAGGACGGCGGTGAAGCTTTCCTGACGGACCCAAAGGACAGGCGACACAACTATGATCATAGTCGTGCTGGCAGATAGCTGCAGCCTGCACACAGGGCACAGCACATCAGGAAATCCATGGGAGAGGAAATGACACTTTCATGCATGTGTGCTATGATTCGTGTTGTTGCAAGCCCTTGTCAAAACGAAAAGCAAAACATGCCGCAGAGCTGATAGGCTTGTCAGGGTGTGCCGCAGAGCGTGTTGCTGGGTTTCCTCGCAATCCGTTGAAAGTCTGGTGATTCTGGTGCTTCCTTTCGAAGGTTTGGGCTTATGCATTGAGGTCCAAAAATTGGACTTGCATAGCTCATATGAAACGGTACAAGACCCATCATCCTCAGCAGCGCAGTGCTCAAAGGCATTGCACAATCACCCCCGAAAGGATACGACTCCAAAATGGGGGCAGGGTGCTCAAACGATTCCCGGCCTAGGTGTGTAGTTTCAAGGGGATCGCGAAAATACAGGCCACCTTGGCAGCAGGAGAACATCCGCAAGTAACATGGGCTGCGTATCAACCCCTGGGAAAACTTGAAGACCCACATCTCCAACACCCCAAACACCCAAATCTTCGTCAGAGGGCGGAGAAACGGTGATTCCGGAAACGTGGGATGTAGCACTGCAGGAGAGCTTTCGGAAAAAACGAGCCGCCTCTGGCAGCAAAGACGGTTGTCAAACGGCGAGTCATCAAGACCCAGTTGGACAACACGCTGTCGGCTCGCGAAACTTGGCGGAGATGCTGAGCACGGCACGCACTCAGCAGCTTCAGCCGCCACGCACCATCATCAGAGGGGGGGGGCCTCGCAACCACGGAGAACCATGGCCAGAATGGAAAGCCCGTGCCATGCGGATGCAGATAGCCAGGGTGCATGCACCAGAAGACGCCCCCGTACAACCTGCACATATTTTGGAGCTTTTGCGAACATGCTGGGAGGGCGAAAGGGCGACACGGGAATTCATCTCCTCTTGACATGGGCTCGTGTGACTGTGCGTCTTTCCAGCGAATAATTGCGCCGCCACCAGGAACAGCAAGAAGCCGCCGAAAAAATCGGAATGGCTGCCGTCCGCTATTTTGACATGAAGCAGCCTTCCACTTAGAGCTCAGTCCGAGTTTTGAGCCCGTGCTTGTCGCAGCCTGCTCCACAGCAGGAACCGGACCACCAACTACGTTTTCAACTGGGATCGCATGCTCGATGCCAAGGCTTACCACGTTTTCAATTTGAGCGGGTTGAATTATTAAGCATGCATTGGGAGTACTAGACGTGTATCGCCAAGATTCGCCAAGCATGCAACATGCAAGAACATTTCTGCCAGGGTAATTCAGCAGTGTTCCTCTTCTATGCCTATGCGAGGATTCTGGCAGGGGATCCCAGCCTGCAGTCTGGCACCAGCTGCGGTGTGCATCGAATTGGACTCTACGAGAAACTGCTCGCGTGACCGTGTCGTAGCAAAGCGCTGCACCACTGAGTCCATCCAGCGCAAGTCTGGCGTTGACTTGTCCAGCATCCCTGCAACATGTCTCGAGGCCACGGGAGAATGTGTTTCAATCACAAGGGCCGAATCGGCAAATCAGCATGCAGGTAAAGCATGCGTCGGAGAGGGATCTTGCGCTCGAGCCCTCAGTCGCTAGTCTTTTCGCTTCCCCTTTCGACGAAGCAGGGCTGAACTGGATCCAGGCTGAAGCTTCTTCAGTTTCCCGAAGTGATTGAGGCTGCAGTGAAGACCTTCCCTTCCCAGTTGACTCCATAGAAACGGCAAGTGTCAGGCCATTCTGGCAGACCTACATCTGCATCACCTGACAGATTATTTGTGGGAGCGCCTCGGATGAACAGACCAGCTAGGCGAAGTTTGTGGCATGGTTCGCGGTGATCTAAGTCTGTGAGTGGCATATTGACGAACCAAGCCAGGTTATGCAACACTCTTACGGCCTTCTACATGAAGTGCAAGGCCGGGATGCCGAAATCACGCCTGTGACGTCTCACAGCCATGGATGCGCATGTGCTTACGAGAGTGAGGCCCCGAGTACATATTGTCGCTCCTCTGCATGGCAGTTTTATGACGAGCCTGCCTTAACTAATTGTCATGCTTGGCTCCGTCGTGGGATTATCCAGGGGTCTACTTTATCCGGAATGGCCCGAAGAAAAATCCAAAGCATTCTCCACAGATGCACAGGCGCTTCTGAGCTCCCTTTTGCCAGAAACGTCCAGAAAGAATGAATCTCCAACTAATTTGCTTGCTTGGGTGGCCAAAGCTTTTCTTCAGCCTTATCGCCTGAGGGGGCGCAAGCTAGGCCCAAGGCCGGATCCGGACGAGTACGGATTTGTACGTCATGCAGCATTGCCTTGTTCAAGTTTGTTTCGATGTGGTCTCACACACAGACACATACATACACACACGATGAGCGAGATGATGGCACAGGTCTTGGGAGAAGCAGCGCAGTCCAGCCGGCTGCTCCTGTGCGAGGCTACTCGAAAGGCCAGGTGGTTTCTAGAAGTTCTTCCATCGCTACAGTACAAACAGCCATCGCTTAACAGCGCAGGTTCTCCTGAAAAGCTTCCAGCTTCTGGGATTCACGCCATTGGACAGGATTTGAGTCAAGGCAGCTGTGTGGCAGGATCCTTGCGAGGACCCAAAGCTGCATTCGACCCCGACTGTACAGGGTGCTCAAGTCCAGTGGCAAAAGGTCGCCGTGCCTACGCAGACACAGAAACTTAGAAAGAGGATTCCGGCACCCCGCGCACATTGTCATTGGTGCTAGTGATGCGGTCGACAAACCCAGGCACGTCGTGGCTTCTGCACATTTGCAGGCTCGAGAAAGCAAGGTCCAACATCCAGCATACAAAGCCACAAGCCAACGCCTCATGATGCCTAATGTCTGCTGCCAGTTGGTTGTAGTTATTGAACGTTTTGAATGCAGCATCCACATTGAGGTGAGTGTGATTGAGTGTGTGTGCTTGTGCATGTCAATAGCAGCCATGAGCTTTGTCATGGTCGCCCGGCAGCTTCCTGTGGTCGTGGGGCAGCAGCCTGTTTGCAGCGTTCCTTGCTGCATATGGCGCGCTCAGTCCGAGAAATCCTCGTTTGGAATCCAGCTGATGAGTTGCTTTCGCCGGCATGCGAGGGTTTGCTAAACGAAGCTCGGTCGGTCCACCTACGCCTTCAAGAAGCATTGGATCGGGGACAGCCGATAAAAACGGCTTTGGCTTCCCTGGCTTGCAACATGGTTGCAGACAGTGAGGACGAGGAATTGGCAGAGTTGCGCATGTTTGTATCCGATGTTATAGCAATTGCCAAAGCAGCAAAAGCTCCACATCCAACAGCGAGATGCAAAGCTGAACACAGAATGAGGGTCCAGGCATCATACGCCAGTGAGGATTCACATCCATCCTTTGTCAGTCCAAATGCTCGGCTGAGTGTTGTCGAGAGCACCAAGCCAGTTCCGATCAAGACTTGTTGCCAGCCTCCAGCACTGCCACGGCTGACGAGCGTCGAGCGCAGCAGTCGTTCGACAGCTATTACTGAAGCGAAAGTTCAAGCCAATGCGGAAGAAATGCATCCAAGCGACTCAGATCATGTCCCCTTGCATAGGCATTTACAGCTTTCCCTCCGGCGGCATCTCAGACAGAAGGCGCGTGGGCGAGCCCTCCGAGGCAAGCCGGAAGTTGCACCAGTGCAGGATTCGGCCGAAAGGATCACAGGTGTCAACGAAACCATCAAGGACAGGGAGGAAGCCCGACTTGAGAACGAAGCAAATTGCAAACTGGAGCATTGCATGCAATGCCCTTGCAGCGAGATCTTCTCTGGTGTGCACCAGGAACGGTCTACAGGACTGCAAACCTATACAGGTTCACAGAATGCGGAGGGCCGGAATGCTGCTTCAGCTTTTTCCAAGCAAGTGCCTGGAGCATCCACGGCAGGCGGAGAGAGAACAGGAACGCGTATGTGTTTGCCAGCTGGTTCGAGACATGCAGGACGAGACAGGCGCGTGCCAACGAGAAGAGGTGGAGGCATGCCAGCACTGCAACAAGATCTGGCTTCATTCCACCAGACACAAGATCAAGTTGCCGTTGCTACTCAGCCTTCTCAATCAACGTGCCGTGAGCAATACGATGTTCAGCAAGATGGCTTTCAAAGCCAAGTGGTGGTCGGGAAGCCAAGGAACCCGGACGAGTTCGTTTCAGTAGAGCATGGCACCTTGCTGCATCCAGCGATGCCCATCCCGGAACGCGGAGGCGTATTCCAGTCCGCAGCCCCACAGCCACAACAAGCAGCTGCGCAGGACGGAGCATGGCATGAGACTGTTCTCGGACAAGTCATAGCAGCCAAGGCCGACCACATTCAGCCGACAGCTTGCAGCACCCACCCTGGACCGCGTGAAGCTCGTCAGGCGTCACCCGCACACAGGGAGCAGACATGCCAGCTGGAGGACTTGCCCGTTTCGGCACTGGACCAGACTGCTGAGCACACGACGTCTGCTCCGTCGCCCCTGTCCACATGGACAAGGCCGACTCAACCCCATTTGTTGCAGACGTCCCTCGAGGCCAAGTGTGGGTCGCAAGTTTCGCAATCCGGATTGCGTGAGCTATTAGATGATGTAAGGTCCAGCTGCTTCCGGTCCCAATCCATGCTGCCAGCACAGGACCACGCACAGGCGAAAGACTCGCTGAAGAATCAGAAGCAGACCTCTGAGAGGTGCTCAGGAAACCATAGCAGAGGGCAGATTGCAGAGGTAGGGCAAGCCCAGGCTGAGGCCGTCGTAAGCACAGAAAACTACTCTGACAAGTCTCGTCCTGATGTACCGATTAGCCGTGGTGCTTTTGCCAGAGAGCTGCGTGGCACACATGCACCGCATGCACCGTGCCAAGACCTTGCGCAGCTAGGCAACGCCAGGATCGGATCAAGCACAGACCCGATGACAGCTGATAGCCTTTGTGCTGCCTCCGTAGCACCTCGCCCTTGCAGTCATGTGATCGTACACCAGCCAGAGCTGCTTTCCGCTTGCGCAGGCGCGCAGAGTGCAGGCCATGCTGCAGATGTACATAATTCACTGGAGATGTCATCCAAGCGATTGCTTGGAGTATCCACGGCAGACGGAGAGAGAACAGGAACGCGTATGTGTTTGCCAGCTGGTTCGAGACATGCAGGACCAGACAGGCACGTGCCAACGAGAAGAGGTGGAGGCATGCCAGCACTGCAACAAGATCTGGCTTCATTCCACCAGACACAAGATAAAGTTGCCGTTGCTACTCAGCCTTCTCAATCAACGTGCCGTGAGCAATACGATGTTCAGCAAGATGGCTTTCAAAGCCAAGTGGTGGTCGGGAAGCCAAGGAACCCGGACGAGTTCGTTTCAGTAGAGCATGGCACCTTGCTGCATCCAGCGATGCCCATCCCGGAACGCGGAGGCGTATTCCAGTCCGCAGCCCCACAGCCACAACAAGCAGCTGCGCAGGACGGAGCATGGCATGAGACTGTTCTCGGACAAGTCATAGCAGCCAAGGCCGACCACATTCAGCCGACAGCTTGCAGCACCCACCCTGGACCGCGTGAAGCTCGTCAGGCGTCACCCGCACACAGGGAGCAGACATGCCAGCTGGAGGACTTGCCCGTTTCGGCACTGGACCAGACTGCTGAGCACACGACGTCTGCTCCGTCGCCCCTGTCCACATGGACAAGGCCGACTCAACCCCATTTGTTGCAGACGTCCCTCGAGGCCAAGTGTGGGTCGCAAGTTTCGCAATCCGGATTGCGTGAGTTATTAGATGATGTAAGGTCCAGCTGCTTCCGGTCCCAATCCATGCTGCCAGCACAGGACCACGCACAGGCGAAAGACTCGCTGAAGAATCAGAAGCAGACCTCTGAGAGGTGCTCAGGAAACCATAGCAGAGGGCAGATTGCAGAGGTAGGGCAAGCCCAGGCTGAGGCCGTCGTAAGCACAGAAAACTACTCTGACAAGTCTCGTCCTGATGTACCGATTAGCCGTGGTGCTTTTGCCAGAGAGCTGCGTGGCACACATGCACCGCATGCACCGTGCCAAGACCTTGCGCAGCTAGGCAACGCCAGGATCGGATCAAGCACAGACCCGATGACAGCTGATAGCCTTTGTGCTGCCTCCGTAGCACCTCGCCCTTGCAGTCATGTGATCGTACACCAGGCAGAGCTTGCCACTAGCACAGGCGCAGGTGACTGGAATGCTGGTTCTCTGGGTGCACAGAGCCAAGACATAGTCCAGCACCTACACGGAGACGTCCCTTTGGCCCATCCATTTCAACAACAGCTTTCGTCCCAGGGTCTTGTAATTGCAGCAGATAGGACACCGTCAAGAGGCGATGAAGAAGATGCCATTCAGAGCAGAGGAAGTCGGTTGGGCCCTCCGTTGCAGGATGTTGCTTTGGGCCCACTAGCCTCCACCCTCCCCTGTCTTCCCGGGAAACAGCGTCAGGACCACGCCGCCGCCACAAAAGGCAAAGGCCAAAGACAGGCAGAGGGCCTGAGCAAGCAGGGCTCAGACATTGCCAGCGGTGACGTGGAGCTGGTCTCGGACACAGCTCGCTTGCCATTGGACAGCCTCGCTGCAGAATCCGTAGGATCAGTCCCGCTCCAAGATTGCGGCATCCCTTTGAGGCCTTTGTCAGACACAGCTCTGCAAGCACCTGTTCCTGGAGGTTTTCCATGTGGAGGGCAAAGCGCAGCATCAAGGGACGATGCAGAAGACACCATTCTGAGTCCAGCGGAGAATCTTCGTGTCACGTCCGAAGCATCAGCACCTCGCACGTGTAATCATGCGATCGTACACCAGGCAGAGCTTGCCACTAGCACAGGCGCAGGTGACTGGAATGCTGGTTCTCTGGATGCACAGAGCCAAGACATAGTCCAGCACCTACACGCCGACGTGCCTCCTGTCCCTTTGGCCGATCCATTTCAACAACAGCTTTCCTCCGAGGGTTTTGTAATTGCAGCAGATAGGACACCATCAAGAGGCGACGAAAAAGATGCCACTCAGAGCAGAGCAAGTCGGTTGGGCCCTCCGTTGCAGGATGTTGCTTTGGGGCCACTAGCCTCCACCCTCCCCTGTCTTCCCGGGAAACAGCGGCAGGACCACGCCGCCGCTGCAAAAGGCAAAGGCCAAAGACAGGCAGAGGGCCTGAGCAAGCAGGGCTCAGACATTGCCAGCGGTGACGTGGAGCTGGTCTCGGACACAGCTCGCTTGCCATTGGACAGCCTCGCTGCAGAATCCGTAGGATCAGTCCCGCTCCAAGATTGCGGCATCCCTTTGAGGCCCTTGTCAGACACAGCTCTGCAAGCACCTGTTTCTGGAGGTTTTCCATGTGGAGGGCAAAGCGCAGCATCAAGGGACGATGCAGAAGACACCATTCTGAGTCCAGCGGAGAATCTTCGTGTCACGTCCGAAGCACCAGCACCTCGCGCGTGTAATCATGCGATCGTACCCCACGCAGAGCTCGCCACGAGCACAGGCACAGGTGACTGGAATGCTGGTTCTCTGGATGCACAGAGCCAAGACATAGTCCAGCACCTACACGGCGACGTGCCCCCTGTTCCTTTGGCCGATCCATTTCAACAACAGCTTTCCTCCGAGGGTCTTGTAATCGCAGCAGATAGGACACCGTCAAGAGGCGATGAAGAAGATGCCATTCAGAGCAGAAGAACTCCGTTTCAGGATGTTGCTTTGGGGCTACTAGCCTCCACCCTCCCCTGTCTTCCCGGGAAACAGCGGCAGGACCACGCCGCAGCTGCAAAAGGCAAAGGCCAAATACAGGCAGAGGGCCTGAGCAAGCAGGGCTCAGACATTGCCAGCGGTGACGTGGAGCTGGTCTCGGACACAGCTCGCTTGCCATTGGACAGCCTCGCTGCAGAATCCGCAGGATCAGTCCCGCTCCAAGATTGCGGCATCCCTTTGAGGCCCTTGTCAGACACAGCTCTGCAAGCACCTGTTTCTGGAGGTTTTCCATGTGGAGGGCAAAGCGCAGCATCAAGGGACGATGCAGAAGACACCATTCTGAGTCCAGCGGAGAATCTTCGTGTCACGTCCGAAGCACCAGCACCTCGCACGTGTAATCATGCGATCGTACACCAGGCAGAGCTTGCCACTAGCACAGGCGCAGGTGACTGGAATGCTGGTTCTCTGGATGCACAGAGCCAAGACATAGTCCAGCACCTACACGCCGACGTGCCTCCTGTCCCTTTGGCCCATCCATTTCAACAACAGCTTTCCTCCCAGGGTCTTGTAATTGCAGCAGATAGGACACCGTCAAGAGGCGATGAAGAAGATGCCATTCAGAGCAGAGGAAGTCGGTTGGGCCCTCCGTTGCAGGATGTTGCTTTGGGCCCACTAGCCTCCACCCTCCCCTGTCTTCCCGGGAAACAGCGTCAGGACCACGCCGCCGCCACAAAAGGCAAAGGCCAAAGACAGGCAGAGGGCCTGAGCAAGCAGGGCTCAGACATTGCCAGCGGTGACGTGGAGCTGGTCTCGGACACAGCTCGCTTGCCATTGGACAGCCTCGCTGCAGAATCCGTAGGATCAGTCCCGCTCCAAGATTGCGGCATCCCTTTGAGGCCCTTGTTAGACACAGCTCTGCAAGCACCTGTTTCTGGAGGTTTTCCATGTGGAGGGCAAAGCGCAGCATCAAGGGACGATGCAGAAGACACCATTCTGAGTCCAGCGGAGAATCTTCGTGTCACGTCCGAAGCACCAGCACCTCGCACGTGTAATCATGCGATCGTACCCCAGGCAGAGCTTGCCACTAGCACAGGCGCAGGTGACTGGAATGCTGGTTCTCTGGATGCACAGAGCCAAGACATAGTCCAGCACCTACACGCCGACGTGCCTCCTGTCCCTTTGGCCCATCCATTTCAACAACAGCTTTCCTCCGAGGGTCTTGTAATTGGAGCAGATAGCACATCATCAAGAGGCGATGAAGAAGATGCCACTCAGCACGCCGCCGCTGCAAAAGGCAAAAGCCAAGCACCGGCAAAGGGCTTGAGCGACATTGCCAGCGGTGGTGTGGAGCTGGTCTCGGACACAGCTCGCTTGCCATTGGACAGCCTCGCTGCAGAATCCGTAGGACCCCTCCCGCTCCAAGATGGCGGCATCCCTTTGAGGCCTTTGGCTCATACGTTTCCAGAACCTTCGTCTCGGGAGAGACCCACACCATCAAGAGACGACCTGACTGCAAATAGGGTAAGTCTTGCTGGCCGCTGCTTGCATGATCTTGCAGCCGCCACCAGCCCGTCCCAGGTGCAGGCACAAGGCTCCAGCTCTACACACGGGCTTAGTGAGGGACACGTGAGTGCAACCACTGTCCGACATGATCGCGCAGATCTTGATCCAGTGGTTTACAACTCCAGACCTGGTGCTGCAGACGGAACCACACCAGAAAGGGACAGCACAGAAGATTTGTTCGCTCTGGCCCAGAAGCCGAATGACGACGCATGCTCGGGCAATTCCGGGAAACAGCCACGGGCGACAAGCAACGCACACACTGTCTCGGTTGCTTCTCGTCTGGGCCCGGAAGCTGAATCTCAAGGGTTGCTGGACCGGCGTCATGTGCAGGCGTCTGGGATGAAAAGCGAAGGCGAAGCAGATCGAGCTGCCTGGACACCTTCCAACGAAGGTCGAATGCTCGACGGCTCAAACGATGCCGTTGCAATCCAGCAGAAAGGAGACTTGCAGGGATCCGGCCGTATCCCGACAGACTCTACCAAGTTTGTTGGCAATGAAGAAACCCACCTGGGATCTTGCGTGACGGCCTCCACATCTCTGCGCGGAAGGCACATGTCACACATCCGCCATGCGAGGTCGGAGGAAGTTCTTGCATCGTCACTCTGCATCTCGTTTGGGGAAGCAGGGCCTGAATGGATTGCGGCGGACTCCGTGAGACGAAAATCTCATGAGCTCCCAAGCGTTCCGATGCAGTATGTGGGTGGTGCTGTCTCGGAGAATATTGGCCTGAGAGACACCGCCTTAGAAAAGACTGACAGCCTGAGCTCGGTGACCGACAGCGAGGCTGAGAGTCGAGCTGCAACAAGTGTCATTCCCAGCACCAGCTTCGGCGCAACACCGACACAGGCCCGTTTGCGACTGTTCGCCCACAGCCATGCATAGGTCTGTAGGCTCTCTGAATGCAGTGGAGAGACCGAGTGACAGAGCAAGCAGCACATAGATTCCTAACAGCATCTGACAGCATGTTGCCTAACACGATTTTGGGCGACCACGGCGTATCACAGCCACCTGATCAGGCAGATGCAGAAGCGGAGCAAAGTCCCTTGGGAGCATGAGTTAAGCCTGAGCTAGTTATTATTTGTTGAGTCTTCATTTTTCAGTTTCGTGATGTTTCTGATTTGCTTTTCAGGATCTTCGCCTCGCACCTCCCAGAGTCGGCGGAGACAGTTCCCCCCCACCGGGACACTTGGCTTCTTCTATTCGTTTAAGTGGCAAAAGGCAAACAAGTCAAGCCAGTAACCTACCACGCAATTCGGAGTCCGAAGCGCCCGGAATGAAATTTGAAATCTACGTGCTTTGAGTCTCCCTCGCTTTGCCCGCATTCACCCACATATCACGAAGTTTCCACTAACCATTTCTGCGCGGCCACGAGCATCCGCGGCCGTACCCAGCATACCCGGTGCATCGCGCATCGCGTTGACCGCATGCATATACCCCGGGCGTACCCGCTCGTATCGACACACTCACCCCGACCATCCCCGACCACGGACTCCCGGGCGTACCGTGATGTACCGTGGTCTGAAGATACCGCCCCACTGCTGGCATACCCCCTGGTTCTAATGGCCGCCCAGCATCGGGCGTGCCCTGCGCATCGCACACACGCCCCTGCAATGCCGTCCAGGCAACTTGCAACCCCACCAGAGAGAGTCTTTCTTTACCCCTCTTGACCTACATCCGAGATGTTTTTGGGAGAAAGCCGTGATCCGTACTTCACTAAGGAAAGGCCAAGCTGCGGTCCAGGCCCGCCGATTTCTTTTGGCTCGGCGACGGTTTTTTTGAACATGCGAAAGCACTGGCTTCCAAATCCTGCGGCTTGCGGTGGTTCCCTGTAAAAGCAATGCCTTACCCCCTTGTACAACAGCGGTTTCAGGGCCAGTTTCGTTGAGTTTTCAGTGCAATACCGAGAATATGCAGTCACATGCACCAGTAAAGTGCGAAAACGTCTCCACTCCTGGCAGGTACTTGGGGCAGGCAAAGGGGCGTCTCCGCCTGCGAGTGGCGGCCTGCAAGGAGTGCTCTTTCACCAACCGCAGAACGCACCAAGTAGCAGGCGCGCCTCCAGACGCGCTGAAGGGACTGGAAGCTATGACACCGCGCACTTCACATCGCGGCCCCTCGGACGTTCCATGAACGATTCGTCAGACTGGCACAGCTGTGCCTCTGCAAGCGAATCTGAAACAGATGCAGCCGGCTTGGGATCGCTTGGCAACAGTGACGTGTCAGCGGTGTTTCAGGACGCACGTTCCCCGGACAGGGAAGGCGACTTGATTTCTTCGTCGGAAGTGCGCATGCGTCTGGCAGAGCTGCCAGATTCGCCGTGGATCAACGTGACAAGTCCCGGCAGGGGATACATGCAACCAAGGAGGAGCTGGCCTTCACTGGAGCAAAGCCCAGCGAAGAGCCTGACTGAATTTGCTTATTCCTTTCATTTACCTCCTTCAGACACAAAGATCTCCAGTTCGACTTCCAACCACGCTGTGTCCGTACTTGAGTTGCCTGTCGGAAGTATGCCGGATCGGACTGGGAAAACAACCAGTGCCCCAGGAAGCGCCAGAGATTCGGAGATCCCCACACCTTGCCCGACGCTGCCAATTCAACGGAAGCACTGCTCGCCAAAGGCTAAGCCTGCGGGGCAATGCCCGTCTTCTAGCTCGCTTGATGACACCACCTCGCCGGTCGCGCAGACGCCAAAGCCAAATCCCAAACCTGGCCTTCCAGCAAGCCCAACAGCCTCGCCCATGCCTGTACCTTCCTCGCCCTCTGCGCCCTCGTCACCTTCAACTTCTCCTCTGCCATCGCCTGAGAAGCCGCCCAAAGGTGGAAAGAAGGGTGCTCCACCTAAAGGCATGGGCAAGGGTAAAGAGAAAGGCAAGGCAAAGGACAAAGGTGCGAAAGCAGAACCAAGGAAGCCCGACGTAAAGCCAGGTGTGCAAGTCAAGAAGCTTTTCTGGAATTCCTTCCGCATTGATAGTGCGCAGAACACGGTCTGGAATGCTATTGAAGAAGAGGGTGCACAGATTGACACGCAGCAACTGGAAACTTTGTTTTGTGATGAACCTCTGAGAGGCTTTCATCGCTTTGCCTCGCCTTCGCCGGAGAGCGATCGTCCGACGGTAAAGCGTGTTCAGGTCGTGGACACGCAGCGTCGAAGGCAAGTCTGCGTCATGTTAGCGAGACTTCCGCCCACACCAATTGCAGCAAGGGCGCTGCTTCGCCTGGATAACGAGGTGCTCAACAGCGAGCAAGTAGAACTACTGCACTTCAACCTTCCATCGGAGGACGAGATTAAGCTGTTGCGAAAGGCGCAGGCTGATCAAACTATTGATGAACTGCACGTCTGGGACACAGCAGAAGATTTTCTCTTGGCTTGGATTGCCGTACCTCAGTTCGAGCTGCGACTCCGCACTTGGCACTTCGAGAATACATTTCAGGAGCGCTTTGATGCTCTAGCAGAGGGACTGCGAAGTGTCTTGGAGGGATGTCGGTCAGTGCTGGATTCCCGCTGCATTAGACATCTCCTTGGCATTGTCCTTTATGCTGGAAATTATTTGAATGGCGGCACACCTCGTGGACGAGCAGATGGCCTCTCTCTCTCGACCCAGAATTATTTTTTGCCGTGTTCGACTAATCTCAAGCTTGCTAGGCCTGGTCATCGAAAGCGTTTAGGACAGCACACTGTTTCTCTAAGGATTTGCGCTGGACACACTCCCAATCATGCGAACAGTGAAGATGTCACAGGCCGATCGCCCTGGAACTTTGGTAGACTATGTCACTGGACAGATGGAGAGGCGGCATCCTGGAGACCTTCGCACGGTTTTCGCTCCTGGCGGCGAGTTCGAAGTTTTGACGAGCGCTGCTAGACACAAGGTCCCCGACCTTGCAGACGAGCTGCGCAAACTGCGGTGCTATGCAGAGCAACTCTGCGGGCGCCTTCTCAACCTCTCTGCTGCAGCGCAAGGCTCAAGCATGGATGCTCGCAAAGATGCAGCTGCCCAGTCTGAAGATTCTGGTGTGGATGATGTCCTTTTGGGCTGCCAAAGGTTGCTTGCAAGCCGAATCGAGGAGCTCGAGAAGCTGGAAGCTGAGTTGAAGCAACTCGAGGAGAAGTACGAAGAAATCGTGGTTTGGTTTCATATGGAAGAAAGAGGCGCCCGAAAGCCAATTGACGAGTTCTTTCACATTTGGGACAAGTTTCTTCGGGATGTTCAAATTGCCCACAAAGCATTTGAGCAGCAAGAGCTGAAGGAGAAGCGCAAGACTTCCATGCCTCCTCGCCGGGCCACAATGCATGTGCCCCGCGAGAAGGAGCGCGGTGATCGCAGCCTGCGAAGCTTGACCCCACGGCGCAGCGGCAAAGATTCGACGAGCTTGAGTGGTGATACTCCAACTCAAGCCCAGGAGGATGCTGCATCCTCGATCTTTCCGACAAGACCGCGGTTCTCCACTGATTTCCAAAGACATGACCGCACAGCCCAGGTCGAGAAAGCTGGAAGAGGCCTGCTCTAACTCAGCTCGAAAGCGTACTGGATCTCCAGCGTCGTTACAGTCTTGCTTGGTCACAAGGACCTGTAAAGTCTCTGCAAGGGGTGAGTTCTGGCTGCACAAGATCCAGCCTGCTACAGAGCCTAGCAGACAAAAAATGCGCTTACTTTCGTGCGAGGTTCACATGGGAAACCGTGATTGCTTCCCACTGCGACGATACATTTACACATAAGCTGCAGTGGTTCAATTCGGGACTCCGACCTTCGCCTTCCCATCCATAGGTGCAATGACTGTTGTGTAGGTTGGGACTGGGGGTTTGCTATTCGCACGCTTGTCCAAGGATAGACAAGCAGATAGAACGCGTGAGATATCAAGAAACATGATGAACTTACCGTAATCTGAACATACGCGACCAGTAGTAGTAGTAGTAGCAGCAGCAGCAGTAGTATCTGCAGTGTCCTCTCTCACAGAACCCCTGCAGAACTCTGCATTTTTCTCCAAAGCCTACACGAGCCCCATGAAACCAACCTGTAAAGCACGAAAATCAGACCCCCTGCCCAACGTCTCGACCCACGGTCGAAGCCCAAAGAACCCAACCCCGAAACTCCTAAACCCTATAACCCAAGCCTCTAAGCCCCTAAACCCCAAACCCTAAACCCTAAATCAACTCTCAATCCAATCGGGTGTAGGCAAATTGCCGGAAGCGTAGTTTGGCCTCTTCATCTCAAGGGCACGGCTAGTCTCTGCTTGGAGGTTCATGGGGCTTAGGTTTAGGGTTTTAGGGTTTAGGGGCTTAGTAGTTAAGGTTGTAAGTTCCTTTCTTGGGGTCATAGTGAATTATAAGTATAGTTACCTTATTTGCAGTCGTAGTTACCAAGTCCCATGAACCTCCAAGCAGGAGACTGGGCTGGGGGTTACTGGTAAGCCTTGCTGTGCATAGTCCCGTTTAGTGTACTATAGTGTTAGGGTTTAGGGTTTAGGTTTAGGGTTGGGTGTTGTTGTGTTTAGGTTGCCTTTGAGTTTCACCCACTGGGATTCGTATGCCATGGTTTGCTGCGTTTCCGAGAAGTCGCGGACACCGCTGGAGATCTGTGCCAGATCGATGTCCGACAATGCAGAGAAGGCTGGGCATCATGGGTTGTCATGTTTGGGGACGTCGTCATTGTCCTCATCATCATATAATATGATATAATACAATATAATGTAATATAAGACAATAAAATATAATATCATATAATAAACGTACCATGGTCATCGTCATTGCAATGTCCGTGGATTCCTCTTCCTGACCCCTCCGTGCATCATCGTCATCATTATGTTCATCATCAACCTTCTCGTCCTCGTCAAATTCAATTCCGTCTGCATAGTCGGTATTACTATAGCAGCAATTTCACCAGCACCATCACCATTATCGTCATGCTGATCCCTCTTTGCATCCTCTCCGCACAGTCCCAGTTGTAGCGGTTTCCGTTGTCTCGGTCATGGTCTCGTGGCCGTGGTGTTGATTGTGATCATCATGGTGGTGTTGGTGGCGGTTCTTCCGTGCGATGCTGTCATCGGACATCTTCTGGCCGAGCTGTAATTTGCTGCTAGAGATGGCCTCCTGAAAGGTTTTGTGTTTAGGGTGTCAGTTGCTCAAGGAAATGCCGCCAATGCACTACCCCATGTACACTGTTCATACAGACGTGCTGCTGAACATGACGAAGGTCGAGCCGCACGAGCAGTTGAAGGCTTCGGGGATCCGGAAAAGACTCTAGGTGAGAGAGCAGCGCAATGAGAAAACAGCCCCATAAAGCTGCAGCAGTTTTACAGCCCGGAAGCACATTCGGAATTGAGACTTGAGCAATATTTGGACCAGATGCGCCCTAAACCTAAAACTCTGAAGCAATAAGCCCACACTCCGAAAGAGCCCGGACACGACAAAGCCGTGGCGGACTCATGTCCAAATTAGGGTACACGGTTTAGGGTTTGAGATTTAGGGTTTAGGGTTTCAGGTTTTTCGGTCGAACTGTTCACTGTCAGATCTCCAGGGAGCATTTTCTTGTTGCCCTTGGTTCGAGGCATTGGGCAAGCTCGTGAGCTTTACCGACGACTTGGGGAGAGCAGCTTTCGTGTCGCACCAGTGGCTTTCGAAGCAACACCCAGATCCCGACTTTAGGCAGATGCGCACACTGCAAGAGGCTGTAAGGCGAATCTTGAAGGGCGCTGGGTCTATCTCACTGGACATTGTTACAGAAGCAACGGTACGCACGGCCAAGCCCCTTCCCATGAGAGACGTTCAGGCCGAGGCATTGTTCTTCTGGTACGATTATTTTTCAGTTCCGCAGGAGCAGCATCCGACAATGTCGGTGGATACTGTGGCAAAAACACCTACCAGTCGAAAGCAGGCCGACGCCATCAGCAGCATTCCAGCATACGTAGCCAGGAGCGAGGTTTTCCTTGCGCTGTGTCCGGTTCTCCACTGCCCTGTCCAGGGGAGGGTGCTCACCGCAGCGACCTGGGGCAGCAGAGGTTCCTTTGGCTCTATGTACTTCCCTGCCATGTTAGGGGCACTACTCTCGAATCAGGAGTCATAACCTGCTAAAACCCTTAAGCCTTAAACCAAAAACTATGCACTTCAACCCTACATAGGTTGCAGGTGTTTGGGGAGTCACAGGTGTGTAGGTGTTTGGGCTCGCAGGTTGGTGCCGCCTAGAACGAGCAGCACGGGAGCTTTCGCCAAACAGTACTTGGATTCTAATCCAAAGCGAGACCTCGGTTGAGGCCGTTGGAACAGTGCTGTCCTTCCCGAGCGGCCCCGTTAGGGAAGGCGATTTCGGCATTATAGGAGATCGACAGAAGCTGGCCCCGGTGATGCGGAACATCCTCATGCAAAAGCTGAGCCACTGCTTGCGAGCGGGCGACCTGCCCGGATTCCGCCGCCACTTCAACCTGCAGACGGTTTACTTGCGCGGGCTGGAGACCGAGCCAGTGGCCGGCCTGCTTGACGGCTGCGATGGTGATGCGGTGGCGGAGTTTTTGCACCAGAACGGCTTGAGTGGGGTCGGCGAGGTTGACCGTGCGGGATGGCAGCCGTTGCATTACGCAGCACTGGCCGGCAACGTGGAAGTGCTTAGAGGCCTGCTGGAGAAGCGAGCCTGTGTGAGCCGGCGCACGTTGAAGGATGAACCAATGCTTGGCTTTCCTCGTTGGGTGTCGGCGCTGGATCTGGCAGTGTTTTTCCATCACCACGGGGCCACACGGCTGCTTCTCTCGGCAAGAGCCCACCTTGAGGGTGGACTTGGGCCGGCTGTCATGCATGCGAGCATTGGGGACAATCCGGAAGGTATTCGGGCGCTATGTGCAGCGGGTGCCGTGCCACTGGCCCGGTTCGTTTTTGGTGCCTCCACCTTACACGTTGCAGCAGGCTGTGCGGCCCCAGCGGCGATGGAGGAGCTGCTGATACAGGGTCGCCCGGATTCCCTGGATCTTTCTCGAGCACTCTGGGATGCCGCATCGTTTCGCGGTGGCTCGGCAGAGCTGGTGTGGCGGTTGATTGGCCTTCGCGCAGATGTCGATTTTCAGAGGTCCGTGTCGCACCACACCAACACACTGGGCCGGCTTCTCTATTCGGCGAAGTCCATGCAGCACCGGCTCGGCCGGAAGACTGGTCTTACGGCTTATGCCTATGATTTGCACGGCAGCACGCCACTGATGCAGGCCATCCGGTCGGCTCAATTCGAGGCTGCTGCGGCCTTGATCGCGGCTGGCGCCAGACTGGACCTCCGCAATGGCCAGAACCGAACCGCCTCGGACTTTGCTCTGGGCCAGACGATCCCAGACTTTTTGCAGCGTGGCCTGGAGGGCGACCCGTCGGAGTGCCGAAGGGTGACCTCGGATGCTTTATCGCAAGGCTACGTGTCGCTTTGATGCTGATTGCAACGGAAGCCGCAGAACCCTCCCGAAAGTGTGAGGGGGCAGGGCTTCCTTGTGCACGTTGCGGTTTAGCAACTTTTTCGTATGTTGATTGGTTTTCCAAGCAGACGAGGTGCAGAATCCTCGCAAAAGCGAGGGATGCAAGGGTGCAATGAAGTGTGTCCTTGCTTGCTCTGTCGACCCCCTGCCTTGCTTTTGAGTCAAGGATGCGAAGTGGCGGTCGTCGTGGTGTCAGCAGCAGCTGCAGCAGCAGCAGGAGGAGGAGGAGGAAGAGGAGGAGGAGGGAGGAGGAGGAGTACTGTTGATGGTCAAAATCCTGCATTACCCATAATAAGGAATATACCATAATTCCCATAGTTTGCGGTCCAAGGTCATGCAGGATTTTGACCATCAGCCGTAGTAGTAGTAGCAGCAGCAGCAGTAGTATCTGCAGTGTCCTCTCTCACAGAACCCCTGCAGAACTCTGCATTTTTCTCCAAAGCCTACACGAGCCCCATGAAACCAACCTGTAAAGCACGAAAATCAGACCCCCTGCCCAACGTCTCGACCCACGGTCGAAGCCCAAAGAACCCAACCCCGAAACTCCTAAACCCTATAACCCAAGCCACTAAACCCTAAACCCTTCACCTCCCAAGCCCGAAACCTGAAAGCCGAAGCCAAACAAAAGCCCTAAACCCTAAACCCAAAACCCTGCTACTTTCCATCGGGGGACGTTGGAGGCTATAAATTACATATTCATCTGTGTATATATTGGGGTGAGGGTTTAGGGTTTTGGTTGTATCTATTTATCTATCTATCTATCTATCCATCTATATCTATATCTATATCTATATCTATATATCTATATATATATATATATATTTCTGTGTATATATATATATACATACATACATACATAAGCAAAACCGTGCACCCTCACCCCAAACCCCTAAAACCCTAAACCTTGAATCCGTAGCCATTTTGGCTCAAGCCATTTTGG